CCCTCTTTTAGTTGTCTGTGTATAACTTTCTCCTGATTACATCCTTAGTATTTTTCTCGAGCTACGTCTCTTTTTGTTTCAGTTAGAGGGATTTCCTGTCTCTATTAGTTGGATTTTTTTTGGGTGCAGATTCCTGACTGCTGGGACAGGTGCTCTTTAAAGATTAACGCTCCTGATCTGTCATTTTTTTTGCTGAATTGCTTTTATTGTCTAAAACTGACAAAATGAACCATCAAAGACTGTGCATTGTATAGCACAACCTTCCTCAGTTTTACGGCCTTAGTGGATGCATTAAATATTGTAATTTTGTGTATTTTAATTGTAAATATTGTCATTTCATCAAGGATGGCTCACTCCACAGTAATTGCAGCAATAAATGAGTGCTGCATTGCAATTAATTTAAGGTCATGTACAGCAGCTTATAGATGGGCCCTATGATAATCAGATTGATTTTTTCTCAAAATCTGTTATTTTTTCACAGATTACATTTTGTCCACTTTGATTTTTCAGGATTCATTTTTTCCCCTATTTTAATTTTTCAGGATTCTGATTTAAATGGTTACATGAAATTTTAAGTAATCAAAAAGCATGTCTAATTAATTGAAATCATGAAACTTATACAATTTATTAAAAGTTTAACAAAACATTTTTAGCACCCTATGAAATCTGTTTAAATTTTCCCATTTTCAGTGTTTTTCTTTGTTCCCCTGGATTTTGTTTTAATGGTTTAATCAAATTTTAATAATTAAAAAGCATTTCTAATCAATTTAATTCATAAAAATGTAACAATTTATTAATTTATTAAAATTTTTACAACAATAGAGCCCTATGATTTTTTTTTTTTCAGAAATTGTTTTAAATTTTTGTGATTTATGATTTAATACACATTTATTATCAGAAACTGTGATAATCAAATCAAGGCATAAAATATAACAATTTATTTAATTTTTTAAAATGTAATCAATTTTAACAGTTCATTTTATTTTTGGGCAAACAAACCTACACAAAAGAAAGTACATCGTAAGTACTTTGAGGAGCACGTTGTAATGTACAATAATACTATATTTCTGTCATAATCTCGGTATTGAAGACCTTTTTTCTTAGATCAAGCATCTGGAAATTGAACCCATGACTGTGGCATTGCTAATGCCATTCATACTCTATAAGATACAGTATTGCTTGAGCCAGTGATTTAATTTATTTTGCACAACATATCAAATGTACACTGTTACTCACCGATACACACATTCTCGTCGTCGGGCTCTGCAGAGGTGTTTTTGTAGAAGCCCATGCGACAGTGTTCGCAGTTCTGACCACGCGTGTTGTGTTTGCAGCTCACGCACGTCACTATGTTCAGGAAATCGATGTAACTACAGCGATTCGAGTGTCCATTACATTCACAATCTGAGAATGAGAGAGAAACGTCATCTTAAACACTGTTTTAAAGTACAGAAGGGTTAAAAGAGAGAGAAGAGTAAAGAAGGGAGTTCCTGGTTTTTGAGATAATGGGATGGATTGGGATGCGAAATGTCATTCAAGCTGCTGAATACTGAATAGGTGTTGATATGTAAATGTGGGCGGGTAAATTTGAATGCGCTAATGACATCATGATCATGATGATTTAAAAAATGATTCCATTTTTTTGCAGTTTTGTTTAAATGTTCTGGATGGACTAGAAAGTTTTGTGTTGTGAATGTTAGAGTATGACATTCAGACTACATCAATCTCAATGCTGAATCAATGAAGAGCTATTGACTATTTTTCTTGCTTCACTTTGTGTCTTTTCCTGCTGCGCCCGTAGTATTGATGCCTGAAACGAAGATGTGAGTGTGGGTGTGTGTTGCTGACAGGGCGATATCTCACACACTCTTACGGGGGTCTTTCCCACACCTTGTGCACGTGTGTGTGTGTGGCATTTGTGAGCGTGTGTATGTGTGCATATGTGTGCATGTGCTCCGGGGATGTTGGAAAATCTGATGACAGATGTTTTCTCTCAAACAGCTGTTTCTCCGTCTTCTGAAGCAGATCTTTTTTGTCAAACTGCTGGTTTCTCCCATTTCCCATTCACACCTGTCCTGTATCTTTCTCTCATGTCTGTTTCTTTCTGTCACTCACAGCGAATCAGTGTCTATTGCGTCAGCAAACCACGTTCAGTGTCGCCCCTTTTTGAGAATTTGAGCCAGTGCCTGCCAAGCGTTATATGGCACTTTGACCTCCACATGACAGATACAAGATTCTAAGTAGTTTGAAAGCGGAGGTGTACATAGTAAGATGTATTTCTGGGCAAGGATGCACTTAATTGATCAAAAGTGACAGTAAAGACATTTATAATGTTACAAAAGATTTCTATTTCGAATCAAATATCAGCATATTAGAATGATTTCTGAAGGATCATGCATGTGACGCCGAGGACTGGAGTAATGATGCTGAAAATTCAGCTTTGATCACAGAAATAAATGACATTTTACTATATATTCACAATATATTCAAATAGTTAACAGTTCTTTTAAATTGTAATAATATTTCATAATATTACTGTTTTACTGTATTTTTGCTTAAATAAATGCTGCCTTGTTGAGCAGAAGGTACTTCTTTATAATTAAAAAATCTTAACGAACCCAAAATTTTGAATGGTAGTGCATTTTTATATATATATATAGAGAGAGAGAGAAAGAGAGCAAAAAGTCTTTCAAATATTTATGAGCACTTTAAAAGCTAGAGAGCGAGAACTCAGTACAGAGCCTGTCTCAGCACATAGGAACAGGCAAATCAATGAAATATAAGGCTACGTTTACATGACAACGATGTAGTCAAAAACGGAAAAGTTTTTCCCTTGCGTTTTTAAAAAGTTTCACGTATACACGACGACGCTTTCAAAACAATTCGCGTTTACATATATCTGCGAAAACGGCCAAAAACGCTGTATTACGTATGCCAGGACAGTAGTTGGCGCTGTCACCTTGTTAGTAAACAGTACCTGTAGGGAAGTGACGATTATATGTTGAATATGATGCGTCTCCGCTGTTGGTTGTAATATTGGTAAAGTAAATCCACACTTTGCTGAAGAAGCGTTAGCAAACTCTTGAGCAGCAACAACAGTACCATGTACTCCGCCATTGTTGAGTATGTTTGTTCGCGCTTGCCTTTAAAACCGACACGTATTGCGCATGTCTACATACCTAACACGTACTACAAAAAAACCCAAAAAAACTTAACACGTACTACGCACGCGCATGACTTCACCAGTTTCAAAGAATCCCGTTTTGGGTGTTTACACGGAAACGATAACGGTGGCGTTTTCAAAGACTTTGAAACCTGTTTTCAAAAATATGCGTATTCAGTCCCCAAAACGCCGTTGTCGTGTAAACGAACAGGAAAAACGCATAAAAAGTTTCCCGTTTTGGCTGAAAACGTTGTTGTGTAAACGGCCCCTAAATGAGAGTTACACACACAAGCTGATCACAACACACTTACCTTACATATCATGCATATAGAGAGATGGAGGGATTAATGAGAGTTAGAATGCTGGAGACAGGAAATGACATGTTGAGAAACATCAAACTCAGCGAGTCTTTAGTTTTTGAACTCTCAACATCACGTGTTGTAGAACTTTCTAAAGTACTAGCCTTTAATTCACATCTCCATTGTAACATGTTCTAGAACGCTTCACAGTTACTGTACCACTATTGAACTAAAGCCCAATTATATACCTTAGTCAGGTTAGACGGCATTTTGAAAACAAGGCTGCGAGTGATAGACTTACAGTATTACAATGGTATGCGCTGTATGAAGGTCCTAGATCACAAGCAATTTTCACAACTCACAACTTTCAAAGCTGTTTTGTGGAGTTTTTGTCTACTGAAAGTCTTTTGGAAAGATGCTTGGTCAGTTGACAATCGGTATGTTTGAAACAACAGTACAATCCATTGAACACACTGTACTTCTGTCCCTCACATCCTTGTTTTCATTCCTCTCAAAAATTAAATATGACGATACCCCAGGGCCATCGCTAGGAATTCTGGACCCTGTGCAATGAATTTGCTATGGGGCCCCCTCAAAATCACGTTCAGTGGGGGGGTTCGCGATCCCTCGCCATAGACCCCTGTTACTCAGTTCCAATATTACTCCCTGCCCAATGCCCCTGCGATACCCTGACTAAGGTCTATTGAAAAATTAACAAATGCTCTGGACCCTGTGCAATGAATTTGCTATGGGGCCCCCTCAAAATCACGTTCAGTGGGGGGGTTCGCGATCCCTCGCCATAGACCCCTGTTACTCAGTTCCAATATTACTCCCTGCCCAATGCCCCTGCAATACCCTGACTAAGGTCTATTGAAAAATTAACAAATGCGGCAGCATGAACTTTCTACAGTACATTGATGAAAGCATCTGCTAAATGAAAAATTTTAATTAATCCGGAAACACTCTAACGTGTAGTTACTTAGTGCTTCTAAACAACTCACGGTTCCACTCAACTAATTAACTAGAGTTCTAGAGACTAAAACACGTTACATTGTTTATGAGTTGTATGGAACTAAGGTGAGTTCTAGAACCCATTCGTGTTCGAGTCGAAGGTTTTAGAAACTAGAATGTTACTGTTCCCTTCCAGTCATAAACACTGTAATGTATTCTATCGAGAACGCTCCCTCATTCTTGTAAATACTGTGACATTGTACTTTGAAATCTCTTTCTTCCTCTACTCCGCTCATTTTCATTTCTTTCTCACCTTTGAAGTCGTCATATATGATGCCTTTTAGCTGTACAGTCTGTTGCCCTCCAGATAGTAAGAACTTCAGAAGAGCTTTGGAAAATGAAAAGCCTTATTTTATAACCTTTATCTAGAAACCTACTACAACTAGCAAAGCAAAGCAAATCGAGTCAACTACAAGCAAATCTCCAGCTATCAGTCCACACAGATAAGGAAGGGCAACTGAATCATTGTTTGAAACATTTAACAGGCCCAAAAATTCACTACCAAGCATGTGTACTCTAATAGGTTTATGCATTGGCTCATGATGATGTACTATTGGCTCATGAGGTTTCACTACTGGATCATGAGGTTTATGCATTGGCTCATGAGGATGTACTATTGGTTTATGAGGTTTATGCATTTCCTCTTGATGATGTACTATTGGTTCATGAGGTTTATGCATTGCTTCATGATGATGTACTATTGGCTCATGAGGTTTCACTACTGGATCATGAGGTCTATGCATTGCCCCATGATTATGTACTATTGGCTCATGAGGTTTATGCATTGCCTCATGGTGATGTACTGTTGGCTCATGGGGTTTCACTATTGATCTATGAGTTTTATGCATTGGCTCATGAGGTTTCTCTGGCTCACGAGGTTTATGCATTGCCTCATGAGGACTCACTATTGGCGTGTGAGTATTTACTATTGGCCCATGAGGATTGACTATTGGATCATGAGGTTTATGCATTGCCTGATGTGAATTCACTATTGGCTCATGAGGTTTAAGCATTGGCTCATGAGGATTCACTATTGGATCATGAGGTTTATGCATTGACTCATGATGATGTACTACTGGCCCATGAGAATTCACTATTGGCTCATGAGGATTCACTATTGACTTGTGAGGATTCACTATTGGCTCATGAGGATTCACTAATGGCTCATGAGGTTTACGCGTTGGCTCATGTGAATTCACTATTGGCTTGTGGGGTTTCACTATTGTATCATGAGTTTTCATTATTGGCTCATGGGGACTCACTATTGGATCATGAGGTTTATGCACTGGCTCATGAGGTTTAACTATTGGTTCATGAGGATTCACTATTGGCTCATGAGTTTTATGCCCTGGCTCATGAAGTTTCACTATTGGCTCATGTGGCTCATGATGTTTATGCATTGGCTCATGGGTATTCACCATTGTCTCAAGTGGTTTATGCATTGGCTCATGAGGAATTACTATTAGCTCATGAGGTTTATGCATTGACTCATGAGGTTTCACTATTGGCTCATGAGGATTCACTATTGTCTCAAATGGTTTATGCATTGGCTCATGAGATTCTGGTATTGGCTCATGATGTTTATGAATTAGCTTTTTGGTTTTACTATCATGGGTATTCACCATTGTCTCAAGTGGTTTATGCATTGGCTCATGAGGAATTACTATTAGCTCATGAGGTTTATGCATTGACTCATGAGGTTTCACTATTGGCTCATGAGGATTCACTATTGTCTCAAATGGTTTATGCATTGGCTCATGAGATTCTGGTATTGGCTCATGATGTTTATGAATTAGCTTTTTGGTTTTACTATTGGAGATTTCTGTTTTGGTTCATGATTTATTTTTATTGGTTCATGAGATTCTGGTATTGACTTATGAACATGATATTTATTCATTGGCTTATGAAATCCCGATATTGGCTTGACAGGCTCTGGAATTGACTCAGCAGATTCTGGCATTGGCCCAACAGACTCTTCTTCAGTTACTTCATGCTTCCCAGGAATCTTCTCTTTCCTCCCAGAAATCTCCTCACCCTTCCCAGAATCCTCCACTGGGGGTGGTGTAGGTAATGCTTGGGTGCAATCATTCAGATAATCACAAAGTTGGTATGTACACACAAACACAAAGGCATACACCATGTTGTGTTTTATAAACAGCTATTGAACACCAAGCAGACTATCCAGAAATAACAACCTGTACATTCATCATAAGACTTTCACGCTATATTCAGTCACAATTATCTCAATCTAGAGTGACCACAGACCACAAACTCCTCTGTGGTCTCTACTACACTTATTCTCTCCTCTGTGGTCTCTACTACACTACTCATTTTTAACCACAGGTTAGGAAAAGGTCACCAAAACCGCACCTACCACAATACTAGATATCTTCCAAACTCTTAATGGCCTAACAATACCTTCGATGAACTGTTTCTTAATTTCTCTGTGGTGTGTCCTCTCTTTAACCACAGGTTAGGAAAAGGTCACCAAAACCGCACCTACCACAATACTAGATATCTTCCAAACTCTTAATGGCCTAACAATACCTTCGATGAACTGTTTCTTAATTTCTCTGTGGTGTGTCCTCTCTTTTCCAACAGGAATCATGTGTTGTCCTGGATGCTTGGGTTGATGATTATGTCTGTGAGGGTCTGTAGTTTATCAAAAAGAAGGAAATGTCATTTAAAAAAATCTTATGTCATGTCAGAATGACATAACACCAATAAGAACCAACAAGAAGTCACATCTCAATGAAATAATCTAAATCACATATTTCCTTCTTAATTTTTACCATCTAAAAGGGTCCCACAAATATTTTTCATTTATTTTAATTATTTTTAAAAATATTTTGATATTTTATATAGTGCTGTTAAATCGATTAAGCATTTTGTATTAATTGCATCGCCCCGTGACACATATATTATGGAAACACAAAATTTTATTTTGGATGCGATTAATCGATTTGACAGCACTGATTTTATATTATTATTTTTTTAATTTATGTAATATTTTTAGTCATTTTTTGTTTTATTTAACTCATCAATATTTTTCTTATCTTTCAGTCACATTATCATTTACCCATTTGTTTTCTTTGCATTTTATAGAACCAGCTGTGTAATGGAAATAGCTAAAGTGCAACTATTGTGGCTGTTTTAATGGCTTCATTTATTTCTGTGCTTTATTCATGTGATTCTTAATTTGAATGTAGTTTCAAACTAAAGTGACTGCCCTTCTGAGTGATCTGCTATGTGGTTGCAAAGGTGTATGTAGTACCTAAATACATTTAAAGTGGAATATGACGTTAATCAGACAAACCAAACAACAATTAATCTCAAACGACAGATCGGTGTTGTTTGAGGTACAAAGACGCTCCTGCGCGTAAACAACGACCATGCGTAATTTCATCAACACATGCACGCAGTATCCTGCTGGGAATATCAAAGATCTCCACCTTTATTAAATCCATCCGATGAGCTGCTTTGTCTTGCGTCTCAGCTGAGTGCTTTATTCCCCCCCTCCGTTTTTTCATGCCAGCTTGACGTTTTCTGATCTGAGCTCAAGCTGAAGTTCTCGTTCACTCGTTAAACGTCATGCAGTATTCATTCCTCAGGTGCGTATGCGCGCTTCGATCAATGAGCATGTGTGTGTGTGTGCATGCGGTGATTCTTTGTTTTATATATATATTCGCAGGCTGCCCTAATCCGCTTTGCGCTGAAAGATGCAAAGTCACTCTATATTTTGACAGGGGAAAACACTGTCTAATTGAGCATTGATTTCCCACTGCGCACACTGCTTTGGAGCCGTTACCCACAATCCTCTAGGGGTACGTTTGAGTAGATGACTTACTGGCAGCAGAGTCGCTGAGCTCTTGGCTTGGCTACAATGCTTTGACTGCCAAAACAAGTGTTTGAAAGATGCTTCTATAGCATACTAACAACACTAGCACACACACACAAACTAGTGCCTGCAACTTACCTTTGTTTTCTATATGTGCATGAACAGGCCCCTCCTCCAGGGGTGTGGCTTTGTGGGGCGTGTCCTCACTGAGAATGTAAGAAGGGGGTGTGGTATGGGGCGGGGCTTCCATGGTGGTATAAAGTGCCTTAGGCTCTATTTCAGCTGGTGGGACGTGGTGTGCAGGAGGGGCATCTAATGAGATTTGCGGGGTGAGTGTAATAGGAACGGGTTAGAGAAACCAGAGTCAGCATGGAATACACGCACACACACAAAGTGCTGAGCTTAACAAAACTGCTTGCATTTTAAATCTTGTAGTTTGGTCCTTGCACTTGCTTTCTAGGCACATGGGGGGCACTAGTATCAACTGGAATCCCATTCTGCACTGCAGAGGCAGTTATGAATTCATTCCATGTTCAATCTGTGTATTAAAATATTCAGAATGGGATACTAGCATACTGCTTAGTGTTCTGCAAAATTCAGAATAATCGGCTCCCTTTCAATTCATGAGTGTAAATTTGAATATCTATCTGTCTGTCTGTCTATCTATCTATCTTTCTGTTGTTCTATCATACTATCATTTTATCTGCCTTCAAACTTTTAGAATATTTTTCAAAACTTTTTTCACAGTTTATCTTGTTTGTTACATTAATTCCAAAAATTTATTGGAATTTAATTTTAGCTTAATTCTGACACACAACCCTGATATTGCCTACTATTTTAAAAAATGTGATGCTCTATGTAGTATGTAACAACACATTTTTAAAACACTAGTTTTATTGTTGCATTAAATCAATGCATGCCGTTTAATTCTCATAAATACAGTGATTTTATATTTTTTATTATTTTATTTTAAAATTCACGTTTGCCAGTTCATTGCAACAATTCAAGAATGAGAAACTCATTTGGTTTATATTGCTTGTGCATACTGCAGAAAGGATGCCAGTCTTTTCAGTCATCTCCAGTGTGTCATCAGTTTATCTAACCGGAACACATTTGTAATATCAGAGGTCTTAAGTGAGATGCTGTTACATTATGAAGCTGCGGTTTAATGCAAATTGTCAGTATGCATGTGTTCGTGCATGTGTGTTTGCGTGTGCGCTTGTGTAGCTGATAGCGCTCTGTTGGATTAAGGCACATTACATCATCATTAAGCTCAGCTAGTACACTAAAGCAGCAACTTGCATAGTACCTTATATGGCCTAGTATATTACTCTACACATGTCATATTCCAGGTTACTACTTATCGCTACAACTATGAGAGCCTTTGAGGGTCACACTGTCCCACCTGTGTTCAAAGCTGGCAATTCTGTTATAGCTGTAGTGAAATCTTCAGCTGAAGTGTCAGTCACTGTTGGCATTAAAGACAAACAATAAGCATCTGAAAACAACACCTGCAGCTAAAACTACAGCAACACAAGGTCTACAGACTGACAGAGTCTAATTTTATGCTGCGGTGCATTCAAAGTCAAATGCGGATTATTGTTCCGATCATATAGTGTCCTGTTATTTGTTGCTCGGGGGAGTTGGAAAATGAGCCTATTTTCAAAAATAGTGGCGTGTTTCATTAACATAGAAAGACACAAAATCACAATGCATGTGTATGTTAGTCACGAGGAAAGATGTGAGTGTGTGTGTTTTGTAAATATCATATTAATCATTCACTTAAAATGAATGTCTGTCTGAATGATGATCATTTTCCTGAATGAAAGCGAATTTATCATTCACTGACTGTTTTGCTGTGATGTCATTTCCTGTAGTGTTTGTGTGTACTTGTTTGTTCTACTTCTTGTGGCTATATGCCCAACTGACCAACCAGCAGCCAGAGGATCAGACTCGCCGCTCTGACCTTGTAATCCCTGTCTGAGCATACACACTGACCGTATAATCCCTGCGTGTGTATGTGTGCAGAAGGACATTCATCCAGCACACATTAATAGGAACACACACGCACACACTGGCCTACATATCATCTCCGTCTCTTCTTGCACGTTTGAGCGTGTGTGTTTGTGTAAGTGTGGGAGACCCTTGGACCCTTAGACTACAGGGGAGAGAAAACATGGACATGATCTATGAGTTTGATTTCTCTAGGCCATATGCTACACACACACACACACAACCCAAAAAGAGCCATGTGTTGTTGCCTTAAAGAAATAGTTCACAAAAAAAAGAAAATTTGCTCTAAATAATTCACCCACAGGCCATCCCAGATCATGAGTTTGTTTCTTCAAGGGAACAGATTTGGTGAAATGTAGCGTCACATCAGTTGCTTAGCAATGGATCCTCTGCAGTGAATGGGTGCCGTCAGAATGAGAGTCCAAACAGCTGATAAAAACATCACAATAATCCACAAGTAATCCACACCACTCCAGTCCATCAGTTAATGTCTTGTGAAGCCAAAAGCTGCGTGTTTGTAAGAAACAAATCCATCAATTATGACATTTTTAACATTAAACTGTTGCTTCTGGTCAAAATACAAGTCCATAATCCATAATGACGCTTCCTCCAGTGAAAAAGTCCATCCCCTGTTGTCTCTCACATCAAAATCCACCAGCATACAGTATTTGTTTTGGACTCTTTTAGCTTGTAAACAGTGCTTGATCTGTGCAGATTTCTCTCCTGAT